CCTTAGGAAAACTCCTGGAAAAAATCGTGGCAAGAAAGTTGATCCCAAAAATTAGAGTCGAGTGGTCTTTTGGCACCTACAGGTGGTGGGTACCGCCCGGGCAGAGATACCTAGTGCAATGCTGCAGTATTTGCTTACGACACATATGAGGGCTTCCAGACCGGAATGAAAACTGCTGCAGCCGCCTTTTGACTTAAAAGACGCATATAACGGCGTCCCATACAACATGCTCATCAGGCTGTTAATGGATATGCACATAGAGGCGAAATGGATCAACTGGATCTCAGTAGCGCTCTTTGAAAGAACAGTGTGGATGAGGTGAGGTGCGTGGGTATCGAAGCCTCAGCGCGACTTATTAGGCTTGCCCCAGGGATCACCACTATCTCCCGTTCTCTGTGTACACGTCATTAGTCACCAGTGCACAGATAGTAGGTCTGGACAGAACAGTGTCATTCGCAGACGATATCCTGGTGTACCAACCAGGAAACAACAGGGATGAAATTACGACAACTCTGTAGCATGAATTAGACCGACTCAGTGAGTGGTGCCAGGAATCAAGCGCAAAGGTAAACCCGGGAAAGGCTTCCTTAACATGGTTTTATTTGAATACCCACATTTTCAGTACATGTACGAAAGTCGTGAGCATTTGCGGTATAGACATCGATAGAACGAACACAATGAGATACCTTGGCATAACTTTTGACCGATGCTTATCACACAAGAATCATGTAGACAATGTCATAGTTAGAGCGAGGAGGCTGCCAGCTCTAAAGGCGATGGCATTCGCCGACATTGAACAACGCCTACTTTTACTGCTCTATCAGGTACTTGTTCTAAGTGTTATAGATTATGGTCTGGGCCTCCTCACTGTCAGCAGAACCCAGCTAGAAAGACTGGATCGGGTAAAAAATGAGGCCATGAGACTCATACTCGGCTGCACAAAAGACACCTCGTGAATCCAGCAAGAATGTGCCCTAGACGAGATCAGTCACGGAAAAGAATAGACGGGCACACCAGTAGACCTGCATGACTTGTCTAAGGTTGTCATAACACTGGGGAGGTACTGGGGGAATCAGATACCTGCCACCGTAGACGCCGAGATTCGAGCACTGATTGATCAGCACTCACGTCCAGAAGACGTCATCATTTACACAGATGGGCCAGTGAAGCGTGGGACAAGATCGGCATGGGCATACACAGCACAAAGGATGGAGAAAACAGTAAAAGGATAGCGGCGCTTACCAGACGACTACGTCAAGTATGACCATGGAGATGGCAGCTGCTACCAGAGCACTGGCGTGGGTAGCAGAACAAGCCATCACACATTCGGTAATTGTTTCGGACTCTATAAATATGCTCCAAATGGTTAGAAAATATTCGGAAGTCGCAGTTAACCTCCATCGTCTGGATCTACACACCTGGGAACCCAGGAGTAAATGGTAATGACAGAGCTGACCAGCAGCAAGTAATGCACCAATGTTAATGAGAAAAAGCATGGACAGAGCTGATACCATCAACGCCGTACGGATTAGGTTGGGAGATAATGGCGAATCTCTGACGCTAACACGACTTCGTGACCGAGAAGAGTTAGGCTTGGTGAAGCACGACTATGCCGTCTTAGAGGTAAAGACAGGAGATACTATAACCAACTCCTCATGGGAACAATAAGTAGAGGTACCTTGAAGTGGCTGCTGCATCGGAGGACTGAGCACGCATGGGGATGCCCAATGTGCAAAGACGTAGATTGTGATAACATAACATAACATAACATCTTTAAACACTTGAATTCCATCTTCAGTATATTTCTCAGCGTTTGACGACTGATAAGATCAGTTCTTAGTTGGTACTTTTCGTTACCCTGCCAGCAAGCCAATCCGCTTGTTTGTTCCCTCTTTCTGCAGAATGTCTTGGACATTACGTAACTAGCATGCCATGGGGAATAGAAAGGCACAAGAAGAAGAATTAGAGTGATGACATCAGTGCTTGGCGAGGAGATCAGAGCGTTTGTGGATCTGCAGGAGCCCTCATATCATAGTTTCTACTAATCACCAATAGGCTAAACTGGTTGTGTTTCATAGTTTCTTCTAATCACTAATAGGCTAAACTGGTTGTGTTTCATAGTTTCTACTAATCATCAATAGGCTGAACTGGTTGTGTTTCATAGTTTCTTCTAATCACTAACAGGCTAAACTGGTTGTGTTTCATAGTTTCTACTAATCATCAATAGGCTGAACTGGTTGTGTTTCATAGTTTCTACTAATCATCAATAGGCTAAACTTGTTGTGTTTCATAGTTTCTTCTAATCACTAACAGGCTAAACTGGTTGTGTTTCATAGTTTCTTCTAATCACTAATAGGCTAAACTTGTTGTGTTTCATAGTTTCTACTTATCATCAATAGGCTGAACTGGTTGTGTTTCATAGTTTCTACTAATCATCAATAGGCTGAACTTGTTGTGTTTCATAGTTTCTACTAATCACTAACAGGCTAAACTGGTTGTGTTTCATAGTTTCTACTAATCATCAATAGGCTGAACTGGTTGTGTTTCATAGTTTCTTCTAATCACTAACAGGCTAAACTGGTTGTGTTTCATAGTTTCTACTAATCACTAATAGGCTAAACTTGTTGTGTTTCATAGTTTCTACTAATCACTAATAGGCTGAACTGGTTGTGTTTCATAGTTTCTACTAATCATCAATAGGCTGAACTGGTTGTGTTTCATAGTTTCTACTAATCATCAATAGGCTGAACTGGTTGTGTTTCATAGTTTCTACTAATCACCAATAGGCTGAACTGGTTGTGTTTCATAGTTTCTACTAATCATCAATAGGCTGAACTGGTTGTGTTTCATAGTTTCTTCTAATCACTAAAAGGCTAAACTGGTTGTGTTTCATAGTTTCTTCTAATCACTAACAGGCTAAACTGGTTGTGTTTCATAGTTTCTACTAATCACTAACAGGCTAAACTGGTTGTGTTTCATAGTTTCTACTAATCACTAACAGGCTAAACTGGTTGTGTTTCATAGTTTCTTCTAATCACTAATAGGCTAAACTTGTTGTGTTTCATAGTTTCTACTAATCACTAACAGGCTAAACTGGTTGTGTTTCATAGTTTCTACTAATCACTAACAGGCTAAACTGGTTGTGTTTCATAGTTTCTACTAATCACTAACAGGCTAAACTGGTTGTGTTTCATAGTTTCTACTAATCACTAACAGGCTAAACTGGTTGTGTTTCATAGTTTCTACTAATCACTAACAGGCTAAACTGGTTGTGTTTCATAGTTTCTACTAATCACCAATAGGCTGAACTGTTTGTGCTTGGCAAAAAACAAAAAGAACAAATAAGGGCATTGCAAATTTACGGATAGGACCACACTACATAAATAATACCATAAAGAAACACATTTTTGTGTGAATAAGTTAAAACAAAGTGGGATGAAATTAAGAATGGAGAGATGTGTAAAATATCTGGACACATTTTTTGATTGATAATTTTAAGTGGAAAATGATGGTGAAATTTTGAGCATGCCCTGGGTGACGAGATCAGAGAGACACCCAACAAGCACATCAATGGGAAGCAAATGGACTGAGGAAACGAGGATGTCCAGGAGACAGGGCTGCCAATTGGATTTTTGTGTGTGAAAAACCCAGCTAAATTTGAACCCAAGGCGTAAAATAAAAACCCAGATCTGGGGGTAAAAACCCATCATTGGCAGCCCTGCCAGGAGAAACCCCACGAACGATAGTACGAGAGAGGCCAAAGGTGCTAAATTGGATTTCACGGAGTATACGGATGGTGAAGACGAAGGAGAAATCTGTCCACATCACTCATGTACGCTGATGCACCACCTTCTCCAGACGCTATAAAAAGCTGGAGCCTGGCTGTGACTGTTGAAAACTGCCCTGCCGCAAAGATCATTATCTCAGGAATAAGTATTGGGGTGAGATTAGGAAAAGGCGGGGGAGTAGGAAAAGGCGTTGGCGGCGGGGGGGGGGGGGGCCTAGTTGTTTTGCCAGGGTAGGTTTTTATCCCTAATTCTACAAGCAACCTCTGCCTCAGTGGCTTAATCATAGGAATAGAGAGAGACAAGATCACTGACCTGATTAGCGATTCTTGTGATCTTGTAATATTAAGAAACGTGACAGCTTAAGTTCATTGGCACGGCGCATGATGATGATAATAATGACGATAAAGAAAAACATACAGATAAAGATACAGGCTAGAGTTCAAAAAGCCAATGCAGTCAACTACCAACTGGCCCCACTTCTTCGTCATCCAAAGATCTCGTTACCAGCCAAACAACGGATGATCAACAGCATTTTCATCCCTACGTTATGTTATTAGTGCCAAACGTGGACAATGAACAAATCACATATACAAAAAATAACTACGTGTGAAATGCGATGTCTCCGAAGAGTCACCAACAATACACGAAGAGTCACACACGTCAGCATTAGGGACAAAGTTGGAACAAGAGCATGCATGGAACATATTGAAAGACAGAGAATGAAGTGGTTTGGCCATTTAGTAAGAATGCAACCAGATCAGATTGCCTATAAGGCCTTTTACAGTAGAACATCGGGAAGAAAGGCCAGAGGAAGACCCAGGAAAAAATGGATAGATGGAGTAGCTGAATACGGCCAGAAGATCCAGAAAACTGTCACTCAAATCACGCGAGAGGCACAAAACAAATATTTTAAACCACGACACTGGGCTACAACCTGGTAAAAGTGAAGAAGACAATAGATAGAATAGAAAGAAAAACAAGAATATTGTTTCGTGTTTAAGTTAGTGCCGATACTTTTAACGTTGTTAAAGGTTAAAATGTTAACTTCCGGGTCACATTCCTGTGATAGCTTCCGTAGAAACAAGATTCCGCGTAAACTGCCGGCTAGCTGAATGTTGTGTCTACATTCTGTGATTTCTCTACAATATGTGGCTGATCTCTTGTCCTCTCATGTGAAGTAGTGGTTATCCGTGTTTCCTACTGTAGCCAGTGATGTCGTCGCACAAGAGCGTTCGTTCTGTGGTGGCATCAGATCGTGTCATCACTGCATTTACTCCAGTATGTAAATCGTGAACGTAAAGTTTTGTTGGCTCTCCTTTAAATAACGGTCGCTAGCTGGAAGGCGACGGTGGCTTAGTCGGAGTTCACCCCCTTGGCTGCAGTGCAAATACGGAGTGGACAAGTCACGAATCAAAAACAACGAGCTGCAACTCACATTAGCAACCATGTTCTTGCGACGCACGACTTAGTGGCCACGAATGTGACTCCTGCAGATCTGTATTGTATGCCTTAATGACCGATAAGTTTGCGTGGTTGCGGTGGCTAGCTGAGCATAGACTTATAAGGAACATGCAGCTATGTACCTCGTGCAACCGACCTATGTCCTTAGCGCCTCGGCAGGACTGCATTCATGTGTTACCCAAACCCTAACTCTAAGCCTAGCCTAACTCCAAGCAACCGTAGCATGACAGGTAAGTATGTCATTTGTTTTGTTCCCTCTTTACCACTCCGTATTTGCACTGCAGCCAAGGGAGTGAACTCCGACTAAGCAACCGTCGAATCCAGCTAGCGACCGTTATTCAAAGGAAAGCCGTTTTGTTTGTTGCATTTGTTATTGATTTTTAAATCTTAATTTATTTCTTTTGCTTACATAAACAATTCACAGACAGTCACTGGCAAGTTCTGGTTGCTATTGAAATATTAACTAGACATAGTCAGCTGTCATCAGTCTTGCATCCATCTTGACAGTTACAAAATGGCCAGATATTCATAGTCACTGAAGGCTGCTTGGGTTTATTTAACTCTCAGATTCACTGGACTCATCACAGCACCAAACACAAAATGATCCTTGGTTCTTTCACACTTCTAATAATTCACTCAGTTTGCACATGATACTTTCACACTTCTAATAATTCACTCAGTTTGCACATGATACTTTCACACTTCTAATAATTCACTCAGTTTGCATATGATACTTTCACACTTCTAATAATTCACTCGGTTTGCACATGATACTTTCACACTTCTAATTATTCACTCAGTTTGCACATGATACTTTCACACTTCTAATTATTCACTCAGTTTGCACATGATACTTTCACACTTCTAATTATTCACTCAGTTTTGCACATGATACTTTCACACTTCTAATTATTCACTCAGTTTTGCACATGATACTTTCACACTTCTAATTATTCACTCAGCTTTGCACATGATACTTTCACACTTCTAATTATTCACTCAGTTTGCACATGATACTTTCACACTTCTAATTATTCACTCAGTTTTGCACATGATACTTTCACACTTCTAATTATTCACTCAGTTTTGCACATGATACTTTCACATCGCTGACCTTTTCTCATGTTCAACAACAGTCCTGCTAACGTTATGACTGTCTTGTCTGGCCTGTAGCCTTTGTAAGCTCTGTCTTATACATCATTTATGCTAAAAGTAAAGTAAGTAAAGGTCCCTTTTCCACGCCGTTAGGCATGTAGGGCATATAGGGCTAGACCTATATTTTTATAAACCAGTTGGCACAAGATGGGTGATGTGGTTAGCATCACCCTGGCCGCCTTTACTTCCCGGGACTGCATCCGGTACCCACTCAATAATTTATGCTAACTAGATATTTATCTCAAACTCTCTGAATGTGATATAAAGAGTGTTATTACAGCCAGCCTCATCTGAAGATTGAAATATTATCGCTGCCATCTTCAAAGATTACACTGTTTTCTCTCTCCTCTGCTAACTAGATATTTATCTCAAACTCTCTGAATGTGATATAAAGAGTGTTATTACAGCCGGCCTCATCTGAAGATTGAAATATTATCGCTGCCATCTTCAAAGATTACACTGTTTTCTCTCTCCTCTACAGATTAATTTCTACTCCTTCAAGAGCTACATTTATCTTTTTAGTTACTCTGTTTTTGATTTACTTTTGTCAGTGAATGCCATCACTTTTCTTAAATGTATGATATTGACAGGCCTATGACAGCAGTGCCACACCGTATCAAAAACTGAATTTCCATCCTATTGTGAAATCTGCCTGCTCAGAAAACAGAACAGGACGAGTTGGGTGAGAAGACGGTTCTATTAACATTCACTAAGATATTGAGATTGTAGCTGTTCGTTATCTTATGCAATATCAGACAGAGGGGGCTAAAATGTTAAATAGAACCTGTTCTGCTGTATGGCAGCAAATCTTGGAATGTCAGTGAACAAATTAGGAAGAATTTGGAAGCAACAGAGATGGGGTTTCTGAGACGAATGTTACGAATACCTTGGATGGCCAGAGTAACTAACAACGATTGCTTGAAAGAAGCTAATGAAAGTAGATCTCTATATACAACAATGAGAAAGAGACAAACACTGTTCTTTCGCCACATAATGAGAAGACAGACATTGGAGAACATCATGACAACTGGAAAGATAAGTGGGAAAAGGGGTAGAGGCAGACCACGAGAGATGATGCTGGATGGGCTGAAACGATGGCATGGAGGGATATCATCAAGAGAGCAGTTCCAGGCAACCAGGGATCATGATCTGTGGAGATGAATAAGCGCCTACGCCAGTTGGCATGGCACATGATGATGTTGAGCTGTTCATTATGTAAATTGTTTGGGACAAGAGGAAGGTGAAATTAGTTACAAATCAGTGCATGATATGTTTTTGGTATTGAAAGAGCTAACCTAGACTTGGATATTGTAACAGCAAGTAATAGTAAAATGCCAGTAAAACGTCAGGCATATAATGTTCAATTCATATTTTTATAGACCCATCTGCACTAAGTCAGTGAAAGGGTGAGCATCACACCAGCCACATTTACTTCCCAGGACACTACCCATATTTCAGGCCAGGTTGACCTGGGAGCCAAGATCATTTTTAACAAAATTTGGCTTGATGCAGACTTGAACCCATGATCTTCAGACCTGAGGCAAGCATTTTGTCACTACACAATGACAGCTCCAACACCACCAGCACCTGGCTGTATTGTAAAGCTAAATTCTTAAGGGAAATAGGTCCAGTATTTAGTGCCTACACAAAAGTGGTTTTTATTGTAAAACCCACGTATGACCAAACCTGAAAATTTTTTTTTTTAGAAGTAACAGGATTTTTTTTCTTGACCTTTACAGCTCTGATGTTGTTAAAAGTTTGTTGCATATCCTTTACAGGATGTTGCAGAACAATCCGGGCAGTTTTTTACAAGTAGTTTTAAGTTGGAAGATGTGGGCTGAAATTGTACAGGATTAGAAAACATATATCTACATGTCATAATGGATGCTTTGATTTTATTTGTTTATCACTATTTATAAACTATTTGTGTAACGTGATAAATATAAAACCAACTGACAAGTAAAACCAGTCAGCTTCACATTACCACAGACGCAAACCACCAGAGAGAACATTGTGGCTAGAAGTAAGTAGTAAGTATATCTTACCCCATCAAGACAACACACAGAACGATAAAACACCCGGTGACACAAAGTGCCACCATGTGGATGAGGACCACCCGCGGAAAGGTCCCTGAAACCCTGTTCAACTGTTAGGTTATATTAGGGTGAGGCTTTGAAAAAAAAAAAAATTGCATCCCACAAGGGGACGACTTTTATGATGAGTTTCAAGAAAGGTTTCATCAACACATTACATGATTATACAGTAACATGAACAAGAATACACAAAGATTGCTTAACTCAAGTGTCTCTGAGAGGAATCACATATTTGTCTCTGAGAGGAATTACATTTCTGTTTTATCAGTTGAATCCCTGACATATGTGTGACCGGTAGAAATAAGTACTAGCCAGAAAAAGCTGTGAAGGACAAGGACGGTAACTCATAAATAGATAAAACTGTTGGTTGTTAGGTCCCCTGGATAACCACTGTTTAGTGCAGTATGGGGCGGCAATGAATTACTGATTTTGCTGAGTCTAAATTGGTAGCCTGTCAAAAAATGGAGCATTTATTTGCGTTTATATGATTACTTGATAATTTCATTTAATGTTCGGTGAGGATAATCTGTCGATTAACTAACTAACTTGATAATTTGCTTACAGACTGAAGATTGCTAAAGCTGTATTGGTTGGGGATGTCTCTGTGGGAAAGACTTGTCTTGTCAACAGGTACGTCTACTGATAGAGTTTTCTCTTTGTGATTCATCATCAGCATTGTCCTGTTATTATTGCCATTATATGTCACATAGGGCTCGCAATCTATGCCTCCATTCTTCTCTCCATTCAGCTCTCATCCTTTCTGCGATCATTTCTTAGATAAAATTTATACAAAAATTTCCAGTTTAAGGTAAAATTTAAAGGATGTTTTAAGTTTTTGGTAAAGTTTATACAAATGTTTATAATATTAGGAACAGTTGAAACAGATGGTTTCCAATTTGTACATTTTCTCAGTGTATTGTTGTCCAAAGTGGTGGAGTGACTTAGAGGTTTGATGTCCGCCTGTAAGTTGAGCAGATCAGAATCATGTGAAACATTGTGGACCCCAAGGACTTTGACAGAAAAAGAAACTGTGAATTGAACATGCCACCAAGGCTACTTGGATAATGCCATCAGTTGTAAACAGATCCATAACTTTGCTGTCATGTTCAACATCCCTCAGCTGTTGGAGATCACAGCAAGAGGCCACACAAGCAACTAACTGCTCAAGCTACATTTGAAATGAGACAACCAGAAGCTAAATTTGAAATGAGGAAACCCGAAGCTTAATTTCAAATGAGAAAACCTATCTACTATCTTAAAAATCATGACATTTGCCAGATAGAAAGACTTATCTGAGATCCCAGTGATTTTATGTGATGGCAAACCGTGACCTCCAGCTATCCTTCATTGGCATGGCACATAATGATAATGATTTCACCATTGATTTTGTATAAACACATTAGTGAATTATCTCTAGATCTAGTGAATTAAAATCAGTAACAAAGACATAGAAACTGTGACAGATGTGGAATATTAAGGCCCAGTAACGAGACAACATGAAGAAGCTAGAGCACAGCACCTGCAAGTCAGTTAAAGTAAAGATTTTGAGATTATGCATTTTTGCTGTGGCGACTCATTTTTGTAAGTCGTGGACTCAAACATTACAGAAAAAAACCAGAGTTTTTGAACTAAGATACTACAGAAAAATACATAGAAAATTATGGACAGAGAAGAAGAAAGACATCAACAACCTACATGATCTGTACATCAAGGAGAACATGATCTGTACATCAAGGAGAACTGGCTCATAAACAGCATCCTGTAGCGATATGTAAGATATTTTGGCCATGCTGAATGTCTTGGTGGCCAGGAAAGATCAGTGAAGGAGGGTACCGTTTTCAGAAAATGAGGCAGAAGAAGACCTCTGTGAAGAGTGATACAAGACATTCAAAATGCATTGCCTGTGAAAGCACATAGGGCTGGAGAATAGGGAGACTTTCAGATGTGCCGTGCTGAGAGTGATGTTCTGTAAAGAACCTCGTGTTTATTGACTGTAGAATTTCTGCACTGGGCAGAGTATCCTTATGTGAACAATGGAAGGAGACAGAATTGATAAAGGGGCCTCTGTGCACACAAAAAGTAAAGGGCCCTATTCAGCGCCATTAAGCGTACTTGGCATATAGGGCTAGACCTGTATTTTATAGACCAATTGGCACTCTATGGATGATGTGGTCAACATTATACTGGTCGCCTTTACTTCCCATGACCTTACCTGATATCCGTTTAAAGCTGGGTCAACATGGGAGCCAAGACCATTTTTGAAAAAAATCTGGTTTAATACAGATTTAAACCCACAACCTCTGGGACCAAGGCGATCATCTAGCTACTACACCACAGCGGCTTTTGCAATGGAAGTGGTGTTTGCAAAATCCAAACCTCACTGGCATTGTCCAGCTTAAGCAAACATTAACCTAGTAAAAGACTCACGGCCCCGATGTTCTCTGTTTGTCAGGTTCTGCCATGATGTTTTTGACCGAGAATATAAAGCCACCATCGGCGTGGATTTTGAGATTGAGAAATTCACGGTGCTCTCTGTACCAATAACTTTACAAATGTGAGTTGTCTTTCTTGATGTTTTTGTGGCAAAGTTGTCTTTCTTGATATTTTTGTAGCAAACGTTTGCACTTTTTTTAAAGGGGGTGTATGTGATCATGGATTCTTTTTGCCTTCTGCTGATGTTAGTTAGTTAGTTAGTTAGTTAGTTAGTTAGTTAGTTAGTTAGTTAGTTAGTTAGTTAGTTAGTTAGTTAGTTAATCAACAGGTTATCCTTACTGTGTTCTGCCTGGACAACAACTCAGCTCACACTCCTAGTCATCTGTTGGTTTCCAGTCGAGCATACTCATCCTGCCTTGTTGGCAACCCTTCATATGTGCCTCTCACTCTCTGTCACCATAAAATTAGCACACTCTTAGCACATGCACACCCACACTCATCTGCTTTTAATTCTGATATGAATGTTCTAGATCTACACTCCAACAGGACTGAACTCTAATGTTCAGATAGGTCACCTTTTTAGTAGCAAACAGAATTCATTTCTTTTTTCTTTGGAATAAAGCCAGTAAGAATTAGCGTTCACTTTAACTATGAGGAACATAGTTTTATTGGCTTAGCTAAATGGGGAAAAGTGACATCATACTGAGATTATCATGAGAAATGATTGTGTCAAATTTTGGTAAAATATGATGTGTGTCCCCCCCCACCCCCCATCCCCCCACCTGTTTGTTCATCCGAACAGCTGGGACACGGCAGGACAGGAGAGGTTCAAGTGTATCGCATCCTCCTACTACAGGGGAGCTCAAAGTAAGAATACTGTTTTATCTCTCGTCTTTCATCTTCGTGCACCAAATGTTTTGCCGAATATCATTCTAGCCACATCATTTGGATAGAGGCTCTTTATCTCTCACCAGTCCCCACTGTCTCATGTATGGGCTTTTTTTCCCCTCTGAGGCGGTAAGGAAGCCCCGTGGCAGATACTGCTGTCAGAGTGTGAAATGTTAATCATTCCCCTGCTTATGGAAATGCCACGAGTGCTGTGATGTCGGTTCTTGAATCAAATCAAATCAAATCAATCATTTCCCTCTGTAAGAATCTTAAAAAATGACATTCTTCCAAATTTAATTAATAAGAAATGCATCCTTATAATTCTTTGAAACGTTGGCCCAAGAAACTAGAGGAAGAAACGAAAAAACAAAATATGTCTTGGGCAGTTAAAAAAAAAATAAACATCAGGGAGTCGAACCCCTAGACCACTGAGCAGACAGGCAACGCTAATGGGTGCTGTGACATTGAGACTGTCAAGTCACTTAAATAATAATCCATATGAATTTTTTCTTCACTTTTATTAACAAAATAATTAAAGTAAGGGAATTAATCCTAAATACAAATGAAGGAAAGAATCAACTGCTTTAGATCCCACTGACCATGTTAAATCTGGTTTTACTGACCTAGTCAGGTGGAGCACAGAATTAACTGCTTTAGATCACATTGACCATGTTAAATCTGGTTTTACTGACCTAGTCAGGTGGAGCACAGAATTAACTGCTTTAGATCCCATTGACCATGTTAAATCTGGTTTTACTGACCTAACCAGATGGAGAAAAGTGACATCGTGATGAGCTTATTGTGATGTAACATTCTTGGAACAAAAAAGCCATTTTCCCACTTCAAATAATGTCAACAATTTAAAATTGGGTGCGTTTGTACTTCTAATAATTTGCTATACTAACATTTTGTTTTCAGTTTAACTGTACATACATTTTTTTTTTTTTACACTATAAAACAAAAGAGCAAGAACTTTTTTGTTTTCATCAGCAATATGTCCTCGGGCGTTAGCAAGAAAAAACTGTGTAATATTTGGGACACTAAATTACCAGTTGGGAGTCACCGGACACTCCTATGCGGATCAGAAGGTCGTGGGTTTGCTCCCTGGCGGAGCCAGACTTTAAAAAAAAAATGACCTGACTGTCAGGTCGACCCAGCTTTGAGTGGGTACCGGATGTTCTTGCCATATGTTCAGGAGCGGGGGAAAAGGGGGGGGGGGGGAGAATCATCATGTTCTTGCCATATGTTCAGGAGCGGGGGAAAGGAGGGGATCATCATGTTCTTGCCATATGTTCAGGAGGGGGAACAGGGGGGGGGGGAAGGGTCATCATGTTCTTAGCCATATGTACAGGAGTGGGGGAAGGGGGGGGGGGTCATTATGTTCTTGCCATATGTTCAGGAGCGGGAAAAGGGGGGGGGGGGGGGAATCATCATGTTCTTGCTATATGTTCAGGAGCGGGGGAAAGGGGGGGGGGGGATCATCACGTTCTCGCCATATGTTCAGGAGCGGGGGAAGGGGGGATCATCATGTTCTTGCCATATGTTCAGGAGCGGGGGAAGGGGGGGGGGGGAGGGGGAGATCACTATGTTTCTGCCATATGTTCAGGAGCGGGGGAAGGGGGGGGGGGACCATCCATGTTCTCGCCATATGTTTCAGGAACGGCGGGGGGGGGGGGGGGGGGGGGATCATCATGTTCTCGCTATATGTTCAGGGGGAGGGCATCATGTTCTTGTCATATATTCAGGGGAAGGGCATCATGTTCTTGCCTTATGTTCAGAAGCGGGGGAAAAGGGGGGTCATCATGTTCTTGCCATATGTTCAGGAGCGGGGGAAGGGGGGTGGGGAATCATCATGTCTTGCCATATGTTCAGGAGCGGGGGAAAGGGGGGGGGGGGGATCATCATGTTCTTGCCATATGTTCAGGAGCAGGGGAAGGGGAGGGGGGGGGGGTATGGGGGATCATGTTCTTGCCATATGTTTCAGGAGCGGGGGAAGGGGGGTCATCATGTTCTTGCATATGTTCAGGAGTGGGGAGGGGGGGGGGAGTCATTATGTTTTTGCCATATGTTCAGGAGGGGGGGGGGGAGATCATTATGTTCTTGCCATATGTTTAGGAGCGGGGGAAGGGGGGGGGGGGATCATAATGTTCTCGCATATGTTCAGGAGCAGGGGAAGGGGGGGGGGGGGGTTCATCATGTTCTTGCCATATGTTCAGGAGCGGGGGAAGGGGGGGAGATCATCATGTTTTGCCATATGTTCAGGAGCGGGGGGAGGGGGGATCATCATGTTCTCGGCCATTTGTTCAGGAGGGGGGAAGGGGGAGGGGGGGATCATCATGTTCTTGCATTATATCCCTTCAGGAGCGGGGGGCAGGGGGGTGGATCATCATGTTCTTTGCTATATGTTCAGGGTCGGGGGAAAGGGGGTGGGGGGGGGGATCATCATGTTTGCCATATGTTCAGGAGCGGGGAAAGGGGGGGGATCATCATGTTCTTGCCATATGTTCAGGAGAGGGGGAAGGGGGGGGAAGATCATCATGTTCTGCATAGTTCAGGAGCGGGGAAGGGGGGGATCATCATGTTCTCGCCATTTGTTCAGGAGCGGGGGAAGGGGGGGGGGGGGGGTGAATCATCAATGTGCTTGCCATATGTTCAGGATGCGGGACGGGGGGGGGGGGGGGGGGGGGTGGATCATCATGTTCTTTGCCATATGTTGCAGGAGCGGGGGGGAAAGGGGGGGGGGGATCATCATGTTCTTGCCATAGTTCAGGAGCGGGGAAAAAGGGGGGGGGGGATCATCATTTCTTGCCATATGTTCAGGAGCGGGGAAGGGGGGGGGAGATCATCATGTTCTTGCCATATGTTCAGGGAGTGGGAGAAAGGGGTGCATCATGTTCTTGCCATTTTTTTTTCAGGAACTGAGGGGGAGGAAGCATCATGTTCTTGCCATATGTTCAGGGGCAGAAGGGGGGGGGGCATCATGTTCTTGCCATACATTCAGGAGCGGGTGGGGGGGGGGGAGGGGGTGGGTCATGTTCTTGCCATATTTTCAGGGTGGGGGGGGGGGATATAAATTCTTCTTGCCATATGGTCGGGAGCAGACGGGGGCATCATGTTCTTGCTATATGTTCAGGAGCAGAGGGCATTATGTTCTTGCCATATGTTCAGGGGGGGGGGCATCATGTTCTTGCCATATGTTCAAGGGGAGGGCATCATGTTCTTGCCATATGTTCAGGGGGAGGGCATTATGTTCTTGCTATATGTTCAGGAGCGGAGGGCATCATGTTCTTGCCATATGATCAGGAGCGGAGGGCATCATGTTCTGGCTATATGTTCAGGGGAGGGGCATCATGTTCTTGCTATATGTTTAGGAGGGCATCATGTTCTTGCTATATGTTCAGGAGCGGAGGGGCATCATTGTTCTTGCCATATGTTCAGGAGCGGAAGGGCATCATGTTCTGCTATATGTTCAGGGGGGGGGGGGGCGATTCATGTTTCTTGCTGTATGTTCAGGGGGGGGGGGGGGCATCATGTTCTTGCTATATGTTCAGGAGCGGAGGGCATCATGTTCTTGCCATATGTTCAGGAGCGGAGGGCATCATGTTTTTGCTCTATGTTTAGGGGGGAGGGCATCATGTTCTTGCTATATGTTCAGGAGCGGAGGGCATCATGTTCTTGCTATATGTTCAGGGGGGGGGGTAGGGGCATCATTTGGTTCTTCTTGCATATATTTCGTGAACTTCCTAGAGGGGGGGGGCATTGCCATTCTGTTCTTCTATATGTTCAGGGCGGGGGGCAGCATGTTCTTGTCATATGTTCAGGGGGGGGGCATCATGTTCTTGCTATATGTTCAGGAGGGGGCATCATGTTCTTGCCATATGTTCAGGAGCAGAGGGCATCATGTTCTTGCTATATGTTCAGGAGCGGAGGGCATCATGTTCTTGCCATATGTTCAGGAGCGGAGGGCATCATGTTCTTGCTATATGTTCAGGAGCAGAGGGCATCATGTTCTTGCCATATGTTCAGGGGGGGGGGGGCATCATGTTCTTGCTATATGTTCAGGAGGGGGCATCATGTTCTTGTCATATGTTCAGGAGCAGAGGGCATCATGTTCTTGCCATATGTTCAGGAGCGGAGGGCATCATGTTCTTGCCATATGTTCTGTAGTGGGGAAGCGCTTGAAGAAAAGTTGAAAACCACTAGGTTTGAGCAGCAGCTTGCACAAAAGTTAATGAATGTATTGTTTTCTTTGTTTCCATTGTGGCTACTGTGTACCTAGGCCGAACTGTTGAATATTCCATGTCTGCTGTAGTTGAGATGTCACTTTTTTTTTCCTTTTCCAGTTGTTATTGTGGCCTTTGACCTAACAGATGAGAAGACTCTACATCACACAGAGACATGGATGAGCGAGGCGTGCGCCACAGCGGATGATCCGGTCAAGTTCCTGGTGGGAACAAAGAAAGACTTGCTTGTAAGTTGAGACTTATGTACCAAGTCTGCAGTCATTGTTAGTCTTGTCTGGTTTTTTTACTGTCAAACACAACACAGAAATGGTTAGGAGTGTTAACAAAAGAAAATAAAATCTGCAAGGTATAACCAAACATTTCAGCCAGTCTTTTTCAGCAAATACAAATAAAACACACAACAGAAATCCTTCACCACAAGTTAAAAAAAAAAAAAAAAGGAAAATAGAAACTAATATGGGAAGTGGATCTATTTGGGAATTCCTCTGACTATCACATTCACTAGAGACATAAAATCAAGGATTTTGAACTTTGGTGTTACAGGAAGATCTTAGAGTATTGCAGACTATAATGAAGGTAAAAAAGTTATATTGTTTTGGTGGCACCTGGTTGCTGTAATGATAGTTTTGAATCTTTTAGTGCTTCCACTGTTTTTAAATGCTTCTTTTTTTTTTCCCAGTCACCATCAGACTACAGCAAGATGGAACAGAAAGCCATTAATGTTGCTCACAAACTTGAAGCTGAGTTCTGGGCAACGTCATCAAAAACAGGTAGTTAGATAATAATATATTTTTGTTTCTGTTTTGTTTTATTTATCCACCAGTCTCTTTCTGGAAAGAAAAAATAGCAAAGCTGTAATTAATCATTCTTGAAGTAGATGTCACACAAGGTGGGTTGGCATGAAATTACTTGGCTCATGAGTGAACAATTATAGCTGTTAAATTCAACTGATGATAATCAAGTCTTCAAAGTTTTATATATTTGGATCACAAACTGTATATGTGGGGAAAATGTGTATACTTCCTGGCAATTTATATGTTGATTCTTATGCATCAGTATGTGTTTATAAGATAATGTTTATACATTATGCAGATGTATTCATTTGTGTGAATATATATGTTCACATGTCTTGGGGACCGAGTTTCTGCCAGGATCAGCTGACACCTCTACGAGGCTATCTGCTGTTAGCAGTAGCAACACAGAGCAGGGTACTTGCTTACCCTGGCAACCTGAAAGATGACTGAAAGCTGAGATGCTCAGCCATATGGATGTCGAAAGCGAGGGAAGACTATCACATTATACATCACTTGAAACTCTAAACGGAGCTGAAAATAAGATGCATCAACTATGAAAGGAGACATTGCTTGAAGATTGGCTAGAGAAAGAGAGACTTTCAGGCCTTCTGTGAAGAGAGCAACTTCTGTAAAGGATCTGCTGATTGATTTAAATGATCACATTTATTTATACACGGGTGAGTTTATGCATTTTTTTGAACGTGTATGTTCCTGTTTATGCATTGAAGTCAGGTAATCCATCAGTTCCATCTTTATAGCAGACATGTCACCCAGAAGCTGCTGCATTCCTATGCCAACAGAAATCACACAAAATATCTGTCACTGTGAAAACACTTGACACAGACTGCACTCTCAGCAAATACAGTAGAATGAATACACATGCACTAAGTGCATAAGGCAGTCCATTAGAAGTTCTAACACAAACAGTGGGACACTAGAACATTTATGCATTGTATAAATATGTTTATATTAATTTTTAAATATTTATGTTTATACATGTCTGTAAATTTATGCATTTCTGGTAACTTTGAGGAACAGGGATGGTTAAATTAGTTATAAAAGTGATCGGTGCCAATAGAGTTTTTGTGTATGTTCATGTACATTTAAACATTTAGGTAAATTTTGGTGTCTACATATTTGTGACTTTGTACATTTTTTCATTTGTCATGTGTGAACATTTAATTGTTACTGAATTTGACATAAATAAGTCCCTTTTTTAATATCGTGTGTTCACGTAAATGTATTCGTTAGTTTTCTTCATGTGGCTTCCATGACCCATGGGGGGGGGGGGGGGGGGGGGGGGGGGGGGGGGGGGGGGCAAAAAATAGACTTCTTCTTCAGCGTTCTGAGCCCATGAGGCTAACTGCTGCAGATATCACCCACCTCCACTCATCTGTCTGGTTGGCCTTCTCTTTTCAATAGGTAACACCAGTTGTCTAGTTTCGTTGTCCATTTAAATTCATCCAAAATCGAGGCTTAGTTATCTGTTTTGTGATGAGATGATGTTTTACGAAGGTGGGAGAGTCTGGGCCCTATGCTTCAACCCCCAACCATGGAGGACCAGGGTGTCTCTCATTGCTCTCTACCCTTCAACTTCTCTGGCTTGGAAGGCCCTGCTGTAGCTATGCTACCGCCGGCATAGCTCTCAGGATCGTTGAGAAACACAAGCTCATTCATCGTGGCAAGGCCTTTAAAATCATGTCTCAATAGGTGACTCATCATTATCAACATGTCCTTTACAGAACATTGCTCTCCTCAGGGCACGCCTGAAAGTTTCCCTTTCCCTAGCCAGCTGTCCAGCCCCATGCACTTTCAATGCTAGTGCATCTTCATATACCTTGTATCCATCTTCGCGGTGGTCGACCCCTGCCTCGCCTTCCACAAACTGTACCTTCCATCACTGTTTTTTCCATGCCAACATAACGTTTGATGTGGCCAAAATACTTCATCTTTCGGGTTAAGACACTGTTTATAACCCAGTCATTCTTGATGTTTACCTCATGTAGAATGTTGATGTTTAACTCATGTAGAATGTTGATGTTTAACTCATGTAGAATGTTGATGTTTAACTCATGTAGAATGTTGATGTTTAACTCATGTAGAATGTTGATGTTTAACTCATGTAGAATGTTGATGTTTAACTCATGTAGAATGTTGATTTTTAACTCATGTAGAATGTTGATGTTTAACTCATGTAGAATGTTGATGTTTAACTCATGTAGAATGTTGATGTTTAACTCATGTAGAATGTTGATGTTTTTCCTCGTTTTGATCCATGGTATTCTGAGAATTGTTCTGTAACATTTAGTTCATAGCTCCAATATTTTCTACAGTGATTGAGTGAGAGTCCAGGACTCACAACCGTAAGCTGCCACAGGAAAAATGCATGATCTTAAAATTTATACTTTAACGAATTTACTGGTGCTTTGCCATAGGTTCTTCATGCTGTTTAATCTCTGCTTTGCTAGTACAAGTCTTCTTCTGACTTCTTTCGAGCAGTTGCCACTGTTGTTCACTAAAGAGCCCAAGTAATAGGTGACTAACTGGGGCATTTTCTCCAAAGTCAGGAGTGCATCTGCCTGAGAGATGAAAAACCAACAGTCTGTATACAAAAACGTCAGGTTTGTAAAATGGGTGTGAGGACAAAACTCTGGAACAAGACTAAAGTCTAGAAGTAGATAAAATACCAGAACTTTTTGTCCAAGTTTACAGCTGGTGAACGCTATGAAGAAGAAGTATATTTTAGTGTGAATTCAGGTCTACATTTGTATGAAAATTCTCTGAAACATGTGATCTAAGAACATGTGAATTTTGCGTCACAGGTGAATGTGTCCAGGACTTCTTTTTCCGTGCCATGTGCCTGTCATTTGATGACATGCTGCTTAAAGAACTGGAATCCTACAACTCAACTTCCAAGCAAATCGGCAATAATCTCATACGTGAGTCATGACCTGTTCATATCTCTCTTTTCTTAATCTCACCTTTTTACATTTTACTGACACCTGCTTTCCTCTTACATTTTCTTCTTCCACCCCCTTTTCCCCCTGTCCACGTTTTCTGATTCCTAATCTACCAGCGAAGCGTCAACATTTGTAATCTTCAACTGTAATATCATTATAATGTTTTTTTTAAATTACTTTGATTCTTTTTAATTCTTATCCTTATTTCAATTCTTTTTGTTGTTGTTGAAGGTTATTGTAAATTCCTGTTTTACTCTAATCTTGTTACTTTTCATTCTTTCTAATTCTAGAAAATTATTCTAATCTCTTCTGGTTTTGTCCTGGCTCTGTGCTTTAATTCTTATCTTTTTTATTTGTGTTGTTTCTAATTCTCAACCCTTAGTCCAATCTGTTACCTTTGTTATGGTTCATTTCTCTGCTTTTTTTTTCTAGTTGTCTATTTTAGGTCTTATTTCTAAAATTTTCTTATTCTTATCTTTTTTATTGTTTGTTTACTTGTTTGTAAAAACATTGTTCTAGTTAATTTTTCTGCTTTATTGAAGTTTTTTTTTAAATTTTAAAATTTCTAATTCTTATTGCTTATTCTAATTTTTTCTTTACATTTGGTTCCAGTTAATTTGTATCACTTTTTTTGCTAGTCTTATTACTTTTGTTCCTTCTAATTTTCATCCTTTATTACAAACTTGTCCAGTTTTCTTCTAGTTACTTCACATCCGTTTGTTCTAGTCTTATCTTCTTGTTTTTTCTTTTGTCAATATCTGCTTATGCCGCTAGGCGTTGCAGTTCATTAGATGATCCGCAGCCGAGCCAGGGCGCGCTCAGTCGCTTGATATGTCGTGATGTTATGCAGTCTCAAGGTGTCAGTGACTCCTTCAATCCATCTTCTTCGCGGTCTTCCCCTGCCTCTTGATGTTTCAATTTTCAGGTTGTACGCTCTTGCTGCTGGCATCGTTGGTTTCATTTTAATTAGATGGCCAAACCATTTCATTCTTTGTTTCCTAAAAAATTTGACGATGTCTGTTGTTCCAAGAGTGATTACGTCGTTTCTCACTCGATCTCTTTTGGTTTTATTCACAGACATTCTCAAACATTTCATCTCACAGGTGGTTAGTTTTCTTTCGTGTTTTTTTGTCAGTGTCCAAGTCTGACAGTGGTAACCTAAAGTCGGTATAAATATTGTATTTATAATTTGTCTTTTCGTTTCTATTTTGGTATTTCTGATTCTCATCCCTTGTTCTTATCTGTTAAAAATCATAACTGTTGTGTTCTTATTGAATAAGCTGACCTAATCTTCTTCTTCGTCGCATTCACCAGCTGTACACTCTGGCGGAAAGTTCTGGTTGGTCATCCACTACTGAACTGCAGTCCTGCTCCAGAACCTGAGTGTTGCGTGTGCATCAGTTTTACAGATCTCATTCTCTTGAATACAGACTGTTGGTTCCTTGCCTCTCTGGCAGATGCACTCTGACTTCAAAGGAAGCTCCCCAGTTAGTCGACGCTTGGGGAGGCAGTGGGTCTATTCTTGTTTTCCCCACAATGGGGCCCCGGAACCCACACTGGGGAGCTTACGTAATGATGACGCTGCTTTTGAAGAGTATGTGCACAGTGGTCTCTAACCTTTTTCAGGTGGCGCTCTCTTCAGTAAATGGCAAGATCTTCCCCCCGCCCCCCACCCAACATAACGAAATGTTTAAAAAAAATAGATTCCGCAGCAAGGAAACCAAAAGTATGGAGATACATTTGGTCAGAATGTGTTTATAATCCTTCATAAAATGCCTTTGTTATCACACAATAATTCAACTGTTAACAGTAGATGTACAAACTGCAGGCCACAACAAAAATGACCTTAGCTTTTTATTTTAGAAATAGTTTTTAAACATATTTTATTATTTTATCTATAATTAAATGGGAAAAAATATGTAATCGTTTGTTACAAACACAAATGCACTCACTTTAAAAAATGCTTGATGCCCCCCCCCCCCCCCCAGGTTGGAAGCCACTGATGTAGAGAATGTCAGTAATAATTGTTATGGTGAAGATATGGATGGAGACAGTAGCACTGGATGATGATGGTCATTATACTGTCACTGATGACAGCAGGAGAAATGTTCATGAGGATGATAGTGGATGTGCTGAAGAAGATGGTGGATCTGCTGAAGAAGATGGTGGATCTGCTGAAGATGATAGTGGATCTGCTGAAGAAGACGGTGAATCTGCTGAAGATGATAGTGGATCTGCTGAAGATGATGGTGGATCTGCTGAAGATGATAGTGGATCTGCTGAAGAAGACGGTGAATCTGCTGAAGATGATAGTGGATCTGCTGAAGAAGATGGTGGATCTGCTGAAGAAGATAGTGGATCTGCTGAAGAAGACGGTGAATCTGCTGAAGATGATAGTGGATCTGCTGAAGAAGATGGTGGATCTGCTGAAGAAGATGATGATGGGTGTGATGAAGAAGATGATGATAATGTCGTTGAAATTGCAAGCCTGTTTGTTTGTTTGCTTTCAGGTGTTCAGAAATCCCAGTCGGATCTGTACGAGAAAAGGAACAAAAGAGTTCACTGCTGCTCATAGATATTCATCATCTTTGATTTTCCACATTTGTCATTAGGCGTAAGAACAGTTTGCGGCCTAGAAACTCCATTGGTGTCACTGACTGTTCTCATTTTATATGGATGTGGTGACTTAAGAATTTGACATCACAGCACCTGGGGTATTCCCATAAGCATTCCCTCCTCATCTTCAGCCAACCAGCAGAGAGTTCTAATTCCGATGGCACCACTAGCTTTTCCTCTGAGGGTAGAGTGTTGGGGCCATATCCCTTGGTCATTCTTAGCTGTACCATTCTCTTCAGACCATAATGATCTATTTGGGCTTTCTACATTTCCATTTGAATGAAAAATGTCTTTAATGTCGTCAGTCCATCTTTCTCTTTTTTTAGGGGGTGGGAAACTCGCTTTCATATCATTGTTTATAGATAATGATATTGTATTTTTGAAAAGAACTTGTTGAAATATTCACTTTGAGAAATGTTTATATTGATAGATGTGTTATTGGCACCATGTCAGAATCACCAAGTGCTAAATCCTTGTTTTGAGAAGATCATATTTGGGCATTTAGATCTGTGAACAGTTGCATAGTTATGTGAAAAGGACCTTTTTCCATGGCCTCGGGCATATAGGGCTAGACCCATAGATAGAGGTCATTGAGCCTGAGGATTGAGGGCTGAGTGACTGTTGCTGTCACTATGGACTGTGCAGGTTATGATTTTATTTTTGTAGGAATTATATACATGACATATAAATATATATATATATATATATATATATATATATATATATATAAATACTATATATAATATATATATATATATATAAATATATATAGGCAATGATATGTATATGTTTAAAACTACATGTCTGTGAATATTTATATGCTGATAGACATTTTTGTTAGGATATTTATATGATGAGAGATTTATTACCAAGAGACTTAAATGTTGGGAGATTTATACTCTGGTAGATCTATATAGGGGAGAGATTTATATGCTGTGAGGTCTATATGCTGAGAGAATAAATTTTTGGGAAAATTTCGCTTGTGGGAATTTTTTTTTAAAGTTGGGACATTGAAAATCTGCCACATACATTCTTGTTGAAAATCTGCCACATTCTTGTTGTGTTTCACCATGCTCCTACATTCAGTTACAGTGTTTACATAAATAACAACTATATAGTCCTTGTGTACATTCCACAGTACTGGTCTCGATTGTTATTTTATACTTGATTGTGCTTCTTTGTTAATGTATGTTATCGTTATGTTGCACCTTTATGGTATTTTTTTAACTGGTCCTTCCCACAAATGTCGTCGGCTTAGTTTCCCAAGGCCCCTTTATAACCCTTTCACTACTAGAAGCAGCAAAACGGATACTTTCAGTTGGGTCTGCTTCCCCATAAATGTCACTTTTCCGACTAGTCTATGATGACCTGTTTATGAGACATATACTTGATGCTGTTGGCTGAGTTTGCACCTGCATAAACATTTAGAAGGTCAATATATGAAGATAGTAACTAAAAATAGCTTGGGGGGGGGGGGGGGGGGGGAGCTTTTAAATCAGACAACCTTTTTAAAGCCACGCTAATGTCGAATTTTCCTGTATGCCTCAGTGATACAGGTCACAGCATGAGTTACTGTAAACATATGTTTTGTTACTCTTTCAGGGAATGTAGCATGAGTTACTGTAAAACATAAACAAATTTGTTTTTTTGGGTGTAAATGTTAAAGTTTACTGGTGAGCTCTTGCCTTTTGTAATACAATGACTGGCCTTGCCTCTCTTTCTGCATCTCTGTTTGTCTAAGGATGTAAATACGTTTTATTAGTTTACAGAATTGCTGCATGTTGTTTGGCCTTTTGGCCGACACATCTGCCTCTTGAACTCCTTCAGTCCCAGGCAGTTTTGCATCAGAGGCCCAAGGAGTGGTAAAGAGATGTTCATTGCACTTTTGGGTAGGAACCTATGAATGTATGATGTGTTCTTTGGCACTGAAAGAGCTAAAGCATCTATTGCCTGGGTTATCCTTCCAGGGATCTGGTCTTTAGAATTTAATCAATGTTATTACATATTGACAGAGGAGAACAGTTGTTGTAGGTGAACAGTTGTTGGAGGAGAAACAGTTGTTGGAGGAGAACAGTTGTTGGAGGAGAACAGTTGTTGGAGGAGAACAGTTGTTGGAGGAGAACAGTTGTTGTAGGAGAACAGTTGTTGTAGGAGAACAGTTGTTGGAACCAAAAAACATTTTGTATGTGATCTTTAGTGTGGTGTTTCCAATGTTTCTGTTTTGTGATCAAGATTGTGTTGAACTATCTGTCAGTGTGCTTGAGAAAACTGCAAGCGACTTGAGCCTGAAGGAGTCATTGCATACCCTGGTGTGTTACTGTATTAAATTTGTTTAAAAAAAATGGAATGAGAACAATTGTTGCCATAACTGCGGTCTGCATGTGGCTTGTCATATTTCATGGACAGTCAAATAAGCTGCAATAACATTTCTTTGGGTGTGTGAAAACTTGAGTAATACCTCTTCGATGATGCAACAAGCTTGATAATAAACCCTGTGACTATTTAACAAACTGGGTATTATCTACTTGAGGGTTACTGACCTAATGAGTCAGCACTACATCAAAGTTGTATATAACTGATAGGGAACTCCTAACACAGTTTTTTATCACAAGAACTCGACTTTTGGTGCAAATCAGAGATCGTCACAAGAAGAAAAAGGAGAATCTTTTTTGATGGCATAACAAACTGGGTAAAATCCCCTTAGTGATGTAACAAACTGGATGATGTAGAAAACTGGGTATTATCTCTCTCTTGTGCTCCACCACGTCATCACACAAGCAGTAAAACACCCGGTGACACAAAGTGCCACCATGTGGATGAGTAGGAGTAGTAGTTGATTTTTACCCCACTAGGACATCACACAAGCGGTACACACCCAATGACACAAAGTGCCATCATATAGATGAGGATCACCCGTGGAGAGGTCCCAGAAACCGTGTTCAGCCATTAGACCAATTTATGGTCGGGTTATATTGCGGCCCCTGGCAAGAGCCAGAGTAGGGCTTCAAAAAACGAAAAATTTTATAGTAAACATTATGTGAAGTATATAAATGTGGATGAGGATCACCCGTGGAGAGGTTCCAGAAACCCCTTGCAGTCATTAGGCTATATTCAGTGCCCCCGGCAAAAGCGAGGGTGGGGCTTCAAAAAATTAAAAATTGCATCCCACATGGGGACAACTGTATAAATACAAGTTTATTATTCCTAAAAACTGGGTAATATCCCTTTGATGGTGAAACAAACTGGATAATAACCTTTAGTGATGCAGAAAACTTGATTGTATCCCCTTGATAATGTAACAAACTGGGTATATACTAACTGAATAATACCCCTTTGATGATGTAACAGGCTTCAAATTGGTGGAAATCAGTAATGCTGTTTGTGAATTATCCAGTGTAGTCTGGAAGAAAAGAGAAACAGACAAATGGATTAAAATACATGTTGAAATGAGAAAAGATGTGTGACTACAGTGAAGTAATAAAAATTGTTTGCACTGAAGTAATCAAAAGTTATTCCTTACATTCTGTGTTGTTTGTTGATTGAAACCTTTTCTTGTATGGTGGTACTGGCTGGTGACACGATGCACTCCCATTTAGAGCCATCCTAACAGCATTATTGACCCCCGCACAAACCAGCCTGCTGCAGCCCTTACGACCACTCACAGGAATGACAACTTTATTTATGGCACACCACTTTAGATACACAGATTAGTATGGGGCCCCTATGCCTGTGGGGCTCCAGGGCAGGCACCCAGTAGGTCCACGCGTTGAGATGGCACTGCCCACTTTGGACCACAGGCTGCTTTGCAACCGTTTTTTTTTTTTTCAAATATCCAGAAACCATGAATTGTTAGCCCTTTGGCTCGGTACTATGGATATCGCAACCCTTCGGCCTTGACTCCATGATAGGTACCGTAAATCCGGGAGAAAATGTGGCTTTTCTGCTTACCACCAGGAGTGAACCCGGACCACAAGGAGTTCGTCACCCTGTCACCGCGCAGTTCGGTTTAACCAACTACGCTAGAGAGCCGGGCGTACAGGATGTCTGGGATTTGCACCTGATTCCGATCAGAATAGTGGCTCTTTAAGTCACTGGGTATCTTTCTGCCTGCAATCCCCGAAACTGAGAATAAAAAAAAACAAAAAACTAACTGGTACTTCATTTCACATGTCAGCATCTTTACACTATAGGCAAATCCACAGATGTTCCATCTCTTTCAGCATATGTAAGGTGTAGATGTTGATAATTTTAGTACAACTCTGGCTGTAAACATATCAGATACGACACCTGTTAGGTCCTTCCTGCTTGGAACCACACTTGCATCTAATCTCAAACATCTCTGAATAAACTGTTTCGTTAGTTTAACTATGTTTGCAGCTAGCATTTCCTCTTAGTCTTCTGATTATCTCCCCTGACTATCATTCTTCTTCGCGTTCACAGGCTGTTAACTCCAGCTGCAAGTTCTGGTTGCTCATCCACCTCTGGACTTAAGCCTTGTTCACAAACCAAGTGTTGCTTGAACATACGTTTTACAGATCCGACTTATCTGTTGGCAGACTGTTGGTTCCTTGACTCTCAGGCAGATGCACTCCAACTTCAAAGAAAAATCCCAGTTAGTCGACTCCTACGACATGCTTGTTGTGGAGGCATGCAGCTGTTCTTGTCCCCCCCCCCCCCCCACAATGGTGTCCTACAACCCACATGGGGAGAACAGTATCTTAATATCAGTACTTTGTTTCCAACAGAGATTAGAAAAAAACAAATATGTTGTATGTGTCTAGACGCTCATCTTCTGTCCCTAATGTCGTGTTCTTGAATTCAGGTCAAGTTGGATTTATTTCAAAATTAGCCATAGCTTCTAGTTCAACATAGTCTAAACGGGTACTGGGTAATTTGTAGGGAAGTAAAGGCGACCAGTGTCATGTTGACCACATCACCCATCAAGGACTGATTACTCTA